TTTCGATTACATTTGCATATTCGCGATTGTCTTCTGGGTAGTATTCTGTAAGCAAAAAAAGAGTTTTAACGAAAGAAAAGAACAGAAGACCGGCCTGAAGAAGACCAGTCAACAATTAGGGTTCGCTTTGGATATTCTAAGTGGTCAGAACAACTCCTTGTAGTACAGCAGTGTACCAATTACGGTTCCTCGAATTACCTAAAAGCCAATCAGACCCTCACCATCAGGATTGAGGGAACCGTTTGCTACAAACGAAGATTCTACCCCATCATAACCTTCCAATCATCATGGAGAGTTATGTACAGAATCTAGAACGAAAGAATTATTCCGATTCAACAAACATAAACGAAATATAAGGCCAAATAGATCGGTTCGAGTTTCAATACGGAGAAACTGTCTACGCAACTCTATTTACCCTAAACTATCAGCAATGCCTGAGACTACTATCAGAGATAGAAATACTCATAAAAATAACTACATAATTATTACTAATCACTAATGATTATCAAAAATAATAATTACTCCATACTGTTGTCTAAAGGGCTACCAGTTTGAGCTGAAGAAAGAAATTTATGCTCTCACCAATATGAAAAGTGATGTTCGCCTCCTTGGGTGGGAAGTACGACACTGTCGCTTCGTGTTCACCAGTTTCGATTGAATCGAGGATTGGTGGAAGCGGACCTGAAAGAATGGCCTACTTATCATCACCATCGAGTACTAGATTTTCAGGTTAATTTATCATTCGACTACTACTGGTATTGTATCATTGTGCCAAAGGCCATAGACGGACATTCCCGAATTCGTGAGGCCAAAGCTTATATATTTGAGAGGCGCTCTTTGAAGTGGATGCACTTCACTACATATTTCAAAACCGCTTCGATTTCTTCAGCCAAAATTCCTCTGGGACCAAGGTTTCGTGTAAGCTTGGAAGCTTGAGCTTGTTCCGGTTTTGTTCCTTCTCACTCGATGACCACGCGCTTATTTCATTCTTTCCCTATTATCAGAACCGGATTCTTCATGAAAAACCGTCGTCGTTATTTGAACAATGCCGTATGACACGATGTCGTTTTCGCACCAGCCTAATATCTAAAATAAACATAAACCCGAAGTTGAGCTGCTACCAAAATAAAGATGGAATAAGGTGGCTTTGCAACCCGGGCAGCTGCACATTCGAACAGGACTCCTGATCGGCTTTATGTGAGCCTACAAGGAACTTTGGATTTTACCTTACATTCAAAACAGCCGCACTCGAAAAAAGAACCAGCATATCGAACGAAAATCACCACAATGAGTTATATAGAACTCCGTAAGCATCCAGATTTGCGTCACACCCAACGAATGATGTATTCGTTTATTTTTAGAAGGGACCCAGTCGCAATTACAAGATGCGTAGAGAAGCTATTACCCCTTTCGATTTAGGGTCTGCCAGGAAAACTCAGCACAATTCGTCATTCATGCCCAGTTTCCAGTAAGGGATGAAATGGAGCTTATTTTTTTTGGATTTCGTAAATGAATCAGAACATTTATTCTCGGACTCATCGCTCTTCAGAAAATTTTCTCGAAGGAGGAGGACAAGTAAGCGACGACCTACTTGAATAGAACTTCCCATACTTGCCCGCCCACTTCCTAGAAAGTCACCTTCTCTAAATGAATAATCTAGAGAAGGTTTCCAGCTACGTAATGTAGGAGCGATTTGAGATCAAGTCCATCCCTAACAGGAAGATCGAATTTAGACTTCTGAACTCACTGCTGTATATCGTCTTCTTCGTCACATGCCTTCGTTTGCCGTCCGGCATGATAGCCGATAAATAGACAGTGTATTCACAAGCCGGTATGGTGTCAGTAATGAGGGCTTGTCGAGCCGAACTGAAACAGATTGAATAAATAGAACAGGAATAAAAATATCTCTAGCAATTAGCCTCGAAGCTCACAAAAAATGACAAAATCTGAGCAAAACGCTCAGCCTCAAACGGAACCCAAGCCCAGGCCTGCTGAGTTCGAATGTCACCCGAAAAAAAAAAGCGTTTCGCCTAGGTTTCGCCATTTTTATGATGCTTTCGCATCACTGCAAAAGCTTATTTTACTTCGAAGGCCTTTATTTCAGCAGAAAGGCTTTTAGCTTCAACACAGGTAGTGAGCACAAGTAGTAGCAAAGGAAAGACACTGAAGGTGAGCACAACCATAACCCCTCATTTTTCAGCGTTCAGGCTCTGAGAAAAAAGAAGGTGCTGCGGAGATGAAGGGTAAGAAGTTATCAGGAGACTGCGGATAAACTGTAACAGAGTGTAAAGATAAAGTGACAGCCTATCGGTACATGAGTGGCAATAAGATTTATACTAAAGCTAATGAGGCATCAGGCGAGGTGGATGGTGCAAAGACACGAGGCATCAGGCGCAAGCCTGGAAATGACTCCAAATCGAGCCCCGTCAACTCGACAAGCTTGCCATATCCCTGGCTCTGCTAGTAGGTACCGAATACATGCGAGAAGATAAAAGCATCGACTTTCCCTCTGAATGGCCCATTTCTGACAAAACTTTCTGAAAAACCACTACAAGCTCAGATAGGGGCGGAACTCTTCGAGCTTGTCCAAACTTTCAGGCCCTTGAGTTTCCCTTTCTTGGGTAGCATTTGACCATTACCACCTTAATTCCAGTAGCCTTATTTCCGAATTGAATTATGTCTAGGAGGTGCAAAGTAGAAGCAATATTGACTTGATACTATGCTCTCACTAAGGGAGGAAAATGAGAAGCAACGGTGTAAAGCCTAGGTAACTGAATCCGAAACGGAAAGTTTTCTTCACTTTATTAACTTCGAAAAATTCCTCGGACAGAGTTGGGGCTATCGTAAGTTGTACACACCATCGCCCTATACCAAATCCCTTAATGGCTATGGGTCCTTGATGTAATAGCTATATATTATTCAGGTGAATAAAATCTTAGTAATTAGTGCTGGCACAAATTGCCGAACCGAAATCTATTTTGAAAAGAGCATAGCTCATGTTCTGAGACGACGTAGATACTTTGCTCATGGCTCAGTACTCTTGTGAGAACAATCATATCACCGCAGAAAGCAGCAGTCAAGAAGACAATTAAGTAAAAAATTTTCGAAGACATTTTGAAAAATATTTAATGACCTGTTAAGCGAACTGCCTGCTGGAGGGTTGCCTACAGCTGGCGCGTAATCGAGCACATACGCGATTGACTCGGCTACGGTAGTTGATGACCAGTCAACAAGTATTGAAGACGAGCGCACCAGCTGAAATGGAACGATAAGAAATCAGTTTGTATTTTATTGGCTTTCGAATACAGTAATTCTAAAATGGGATTTCCTCTAGGAATATGAAAAAAATTTCAGTTATACAACGCGAATGTTGTGCCTGAGTCGAAAAATGTTCAAAAACCTTTGAAAATTTCTGAACTTTTCATAACTCTGAAGTTTTTTTTATCAAAAAGGAGCGAAATGAACTTAGCCAGTTTAAGAAAATTTAGCAGACTGTCCAATTCCAAGGATCTAGGACAGCAATGCATTTTGTTCGGGTTAAAATAATTGAAAGTTTGCTCTTGAATAGTAGTTAGAAGAAACTTCATAGTTCCAAAATAATATTCAAAGTAAACTTCAGAATATCTTGAAACGATTTCTCTTTGATCTGCACTTTTCCTTATCGAATGTAGGAATTAAAACTTGAGAAATTGTGAAATTCTGAATGAAATAAAATAAAATATGAATAAGAAATTTGTAAGGCGTGGAGAAACAGACTGTACCCATCGTGGAAGGTACTTGATCATTTTCGTTTGAATGCTTGAAAAAAAAACAATCATAAAATCAGAAAATGGCAGCATAAATCGAGTAAATTCACAAAGGTAAGTACTGACTGTAAACAGAAAACACCTCACCTGAAAGCAAGCGGCCAGAACGACGAAAACAATCTTCATTCATTCATGCGTAAATTAGGGAATATTGTCAGCTGAAGAATATGAGAAGGCGGCTACTGACTTCAAATCGATATCAATCAATTAATTATTTAGCAGATTATGGTACCCACTGGAAAAGGTACTGTACGATATGAATCCACAAATGGGAAAAATTCACAAAAGCAGTGCGGCATAGATTAAATGTGAAAACTTGGGCTCTCTCAGAATAGATCGAATGCATAAGAACTCATTACTTCAATATGAAATACCTATATTACCAATACCATTTAAATTTTATATTTTTACTCGACTGATTTACTTTATTTTACAAGCGTAAGCACAAACTATAACATAAAACAGTACACATTAGTATGTCCTACCAAAATCAATCGGTGTGAGCCATGACGTCTGTTCTCAATTAAAATCGTAGAAAAGAGGAGACGCTGTAAATCCATGAGTAAACAATTTACAGTAAAATATTAATGCCTCAGAGAGGATTTCGACAAAATTTTATGAAAAAAGAAGTTGAAATGTAGCATATGTTAGATCAGTTTTTCAAATTTACGAACAACTTTTCATAAATTTCTTTATAAAATAGAATGAGTTTGAATATATCTTTCCGACTAAGTCAACCAAAACCGATTAAGAGAAAAGCCTCCAAGTAAGGCTGTTGCTGTACGGACGAGAGAAAGAGAAGAGGTGTGAGTATCGAGTATCATTCCGCGGACTCTCGATCAAGTGTCTCCGGTCACGCCCTTCTGCTGACCGTGGACGGTCTCGCAACCGCTGTCCTCCCGTTCCTGTCGCTCGCTCGGCCTGGGCGGACCGCCATGATGACAGGCCTCGTCGTCGGAACCGTGGTTGGACCGGATCAACCCTGTCCGGTAGTCCTGAGTGCTGAGCGCCTAACGAAAAAAAGCTTCCGGGAGCCGCAAAAACTGTCCGCAATACATTCCAAACCCTACGGTCGATGACTAAGGGAAAGCAGGTTATATAAAGTTTCTGATTGCGCAACACTTGGTCCTTTTTTTTCGGAGGTGACTGTACCAGATTGAAGATCTTCCAGACTTCATTTCTCACAGCATGACTGACAGCTTATGAATGTTCAATGAGTAGAGGAGCCAAAAATCTCTTGGAAGTTGCATGCTTGAACTGAGGATCTAGAACGCTGTCATTAATTCTAAAGCAGCAGGGAAGATGTACATTGGCCTCCGTGGAAGAGTTGCACGTACGAAAAAGATTACACCGAAAATAACACGATCGGCTTTTTATATCCTGAAAATTCAATAATTCAAGGGCTGCATAGATACCCGTCTCCCAAGCTTGTTTTCGCAATTTGAAAATTAGGAAGATATGAAAGTCCTTTATCGAAAGGAAGTGAACGCCGATTCGCGGTGGTTGACCCTGATGAGATTACGGTTAGCTGATGTCTCCCACTACAGGGCAAAATAACACCATAGGAGAAGAAGGAAAGCAGCACATGAAATAAAATTTTGGAATTAACTTTTGAAAAGAAGGAATGTCGAAAAAATGTTCGGACGGAGTAAAGGAATTGCGACATTCCGAATCGAAAGCCATCGGTAGGAAGGCATGTGAAGGGCATATCGTCTGATTAGGTTTAGAATCTGAATGAATTCAGCTGGATGCTTGGGTAAAGAATGGAAACGAAGAAATGAGGACACCATCAGCCGTGAGGTTCCTGATTTTCCTATGTAAACAATTTACTTTTCAGATTGTTTTGATTGTTTGCTACCTATGCCCCATACTGTGAGCAGTTTCACTTTTTCGAGGAATGTGAGCGTCAATCTTAAATGAACGTTCACTCACGAATTTATTCCGAAAATCTGAAATTTTTTCAACCCCCCATATTGACTCAAATCGGATTCCGAAGTTGAAGAACTCGATTGGGCTTTGAGATTTTGGCTCCGAGGATTCTCGAAAAAATGTTCTGACGGAGTAAAGAAATTACGACATTCCGAATCGAAAGCCATAGGTAGAAATACATGTGGAACAGAGGAACACGCTTCATCTGAATTCATTTTTCTTCAGAATTAACAGGCTAGTTGGAGGAGGAGGGGAAGAATCGAAAAGACGGATATGAAGCTACATACTTACTATTCAACCAGTTACCTCCATGCTATTCTCATTCAAAACTGCCCAGGCTAAACTAACCTAAGTAGCGTGTGTATAAAAAGGAGTGGCTAGCCAGTGGAAGTGACTGAGAACATGTGTAGATAAGACGTCTGACCTCGTGTCGTGCTATTTGAGGTTTACATAAATGGAAGAAATTTGAGACCATGCAGCGAACAGTCGGGCGTTTGGTGTCTCGCGTTAAGCGCAAGCAAATTCCATAGAAATGGAACAGACTGACCAGCGCTTTCGAATGGGTCAGCTCCTCAAGCTGTACAGCTGGGAATGACCGAACTTGGAAAGGGATGTGCTTGTCTTTTGAGTGGAGGAAACGGAAATTTGAAAAAGTCACTTGAAATATTTTTGAAAAGTATTCCTTAATAGACGTAGAAGAATAATAATATTCAGTTCTGACAACAACAAAACCGATAACTATGATGAACCTACATAGTATATAGTATTAAGCAGTAATGGAGACTTCTGTCCTCCAAGTTAGGCATACATCTGAGTGCATGAAATGAATAAATAAATATAAATAAAATAAATAATACACACTTTTCTTTCTTACGCCTAGTCAGTGCTGATTATTAATTCAAACCTTGGAAATTGCAAAAGAGAAGTTCTTCTACTTTCATTTTCAACTTTCTGTAGTGCCTACTTTTTTACGTTCTGACAGCCTTCCATGCCTCAACTATGCTTCAGAAGCCTGTAGGCAAATGGGGTATGCAGTCAGCGCTAAAGAGAGCGGTACAATGAGTTCCCCAATGCACTCGAGTGTACAGGGATCCGCGGTTTTAAGCTCCGCCAACGATCAAAGATCGGATACATTGCCTCATAGACCGAAAAGACTTGGAGATCAAGGAAGAACGACTCGACACTCGATCCTAAGATGACCCTTAACTCAGAGACGTTACCGGCTGGAACTCAGAGACGTTACCTGCTGGATCTCTCGGGATGTCAAACAAGCACAAAAGGGTTACTGCCCAGATGGTTAAAATCTTTCATGAAAATCTCAAAAATAGCAATGAAGCCTTTCGTATCCGTACGAAGAGGAGGCTCCAATGGATCGAACCATCTCTGAATACCCTAATGGAAGCATGACAGGAATGAAATAGCTTTTTTTAAATAACGAATCGGAAGAATAATCCTTTCTGTTTAATCATTATCTGTTTGCTATGAGCCGCGTATCCGTCTTAAATGCAGAATCAAAAAAATCTGCAGATGAAGCGGAAGATGAAAGGCAATCATGGGGAGAGCCAATCTTCTTAGTCTCAGGTCCTAGACTATTGGGGCACTGATTAATGGGGAGTGCGCCCCGTATTCGATTTCCATTCACAACCGTGAAGGCGTATTGAATGCGTATGTGACAAATACAATGAATGCGGTGGACAGCTTATGTACAAGTCAGTGCTTTCATCCTCCCAAATAAGTTCAGAACTCTTTAACCAACCTCGTAGGCAGATATGGGTCCGGGATTCGAACCCGTAACCATGCGTGTAAGATACATGGTGCGCCACTTGCCACTACACCGCTTTCGCCTTTTACCTAGGAACATTACGGTGCCATTGAACTCTTAAGGTTGTATAGAAAGCCAGCTCGTGGTGCAATTCGGTCCCACAAGAAGCATATAGCAGCATAGTGGCGGTCACACATAAACTACAGTCCTAGGTCCCAAAGAAAAATC